ATTCGTCAATATCCACCGATGACTGGTGCCACGTAGGCCAGGCGGGAGATCCCTGTGCGAGCGGCAGCGCTCGCGGGTCGCTCGTCGGACCTGCGTGGATCCTACCCGGTGATGCGTTGATCCTACAAAGATTCAACAGGATCGTCTGGACCGGTATGCGGATCCTGATCCACGCGTAATCCAGAAAAAAAAATCACGTCATAAGATCAATGTGATGATTCTATGACATGAACCCGATTTTTCTGTCCAGATCAACAAAATTGGGATCATGGGACAGGATCATAGATCATTCTCGTGATCCGCAGAGGACATCACCCATGATCCTGTCAGTTTTGGATCGGGATCGTAGGTCATGGATCAGCAGAGAAGTTGGCATATCATGACTCATGATTCATGAGAGATCCGATCACTCATCAACTAGTAAGACGCACGATCAAGGATCGCGCAGAAGCGAAACCAACAAGAAGAGTCATCCAAGAATCGAAACCGACTAATTCGGATGATAGTAAGTCTCTTATCGATCCGCCAATTACACTCGATTTTTTTGTGGGAATAACTAGAAGAATAACTATAACTAGTGGAGTTAAAGATAGGCTAATACGCTAGAGACGCGACATCCTAAATGCCTTGTAAGATATTGAGAGACAATATTGGGTATTAGAGATGATTTCAAAAGGAACTGAACTATAGTAATAAGGTGCTGGCTTGAAATGTAGCCTTTAAATGGGTTTCACGCACGGCCATCGTGTCGAGTTCCACCCTCCGAATGTAGTTCGTACATAGTATGGACTTTGAAGAGGCTAGTAGCCTCAGGCTATGTACGAATTCATGAATTTCTTCAGTTACTGAGGCTAAGTATACACTTACAAGTAAGTCTCTGTACCACAAGGTATGTGTGTGGCATTTTGAAGGGATTAGGATCACGGATCACGAGTAGCGTAACGTAGCAAAAGAGCTCCGTTACGGGATCACCGTATCTCAACACGTGAAGTACCGCTGATCCATAAACTGATCCCTTTGATGGATCAGAAGTTTGATCCAATACTTGATTCGGATCAGAGGGTGAATCGGTTCCCGGGACCGAATTGATCACGGATCAACGTAATTTCTCAAGACGTCTGAGAATTTCTCAACTCCTTGGTCACGCATCAAGTTTTTTTTTCTGAAAATCATAGATCCGGATCAAAAATGAGGATCACACGGAATCCAGATCATATATCAAGAATCACTATCAAAGTTCAGGGATCAAGATCAACAGTCAAGGATCAGGATCGAAGATCACGGATCAGGATCAAAAATCACAGATCTGACTCACGCATCTCAGATCACGATGGATTTGGCTCAGACATTTTGTAAATTGGTGTGAAGAGCACAAAATGTCGTGAGCAACGTAGAACTGTTATGGGAACCGGTGCTTGATCATGCTTCGGGGTCCGAAAAATGCGAAGCCTAGGGTGCAGGTCTTGATGAGTTTCCGTATCGTCAGCCGTATCTCCCTGAAGCGATCGCCGAGCTACTGCCTCAGCCCTAGGTTCGTGCGCAACATGATTGCCTTGTCGTTGACCATTTTGCACGTCAGTGCCTTTCGCTTCGCATGTGCTAGGCGGACGGCGGGGTGGGTTCAACTGATCCGTTCCACAAAAATCTCACTTTGGGCAATAAAATCATGCCCATATCTATGCTGCGTGGGTCGTCCAGTTTGGACACAGACGAGGCGAACATACCCTTGCGATGAAGATATTCGGAGAACTTCTCTTGGGAAGCAGACGTGACTCGCTTCACTACCAGTAGTAACCAATCATGATCAGCTAGGCCATCAAAGCCGACTTTGGGTCAAGTTCCATCAACCTCGGTGGCTGATGATCTGCTTCTATATGTTGAGAAGCCGTGAGCGTTGGCTGATCTTCACTCTGGATGCAGTAACTTCAGGAGAGACACTCTTCTCTCGTACAATACTGAGAGTGCAAGCAGGGGTTGGAAAATGAATATATGTCCTCGACACCAATATTCGCTTTCTTTGGTCTTTGATGTCACCGAAAGGTTCAGTGTCATTCCTTGCCGGAATGACCTTTCCAGACGAGTGCTACCCGGGAGTGAGGGGTGCCGCCGACCGCAATCGGATCCAGTGGATAAACTATCTTGTTATCCTTTTACGGATGATAATGTGTATACAGTAGACAGAGTAGTAACATCATCAAAGAATCATCCGAGACTGAATCTCGAGATCGACGCCTTATCTGATACTATGATGGAATCTGAGCGTGCTCAGCGTAGACTCCGCCGTGATTAGGTTATTGAGCGTATGACCGCTCAGAATTATGATGTCTTTTTTGATTGATGACGAAACCAATGTTGCTGGTATTGGTGACGACCAGCTAGGTGTAGCTGCTGTGGTGAATTCTGGTTTGGCTGAAGTTAGTGAACGTGTTAGTGTTTCTGATATTGGTATGGATCCGGTTATTTCTACCTTGGTGTCCCAGGTTGGGACACTTACGACCACTGTACAAGGCCTATCTACGATTACGATTAAGAATGGGTCATTTGGGTCCTCTGCTGATGCGTTGGCTCGCAAGGAAGCACTGGCAGAACCAGCGGTTGCTCGTTTCCCGGTGTTTGTGGGAAACCACCGATATAAGGGTAGTGGCCTATGTTTGACCGGTTGTTTCGCATGAATTCTATGAAACTGGATCTCGGGTTTCGTATTTTATGCAATTTGATTTTGGGCATGAATGCTTTGCGAGGTTCGTCGCTTTTGGTATTCATGAGCAGCAATTCAACACTACTGACAGCCTCTCTGACTGAAGTTGGTGTCCGCCGTGCTATTTCAGAGAGTCTACTCGTACTCGAACTTGTCAGGATAACCTTCTGGTTGAAGAACAGCTTATTGACTCGTCATCTTTTGGTCGTGATTCTCCATTGTCTAACGACTCTAAACCTCCGTTGTGGTGTTACGTTGCTTGACGACTGTGAAATGCCCGAGTTGCTTCATGACACACAGTTGTGCTGTGTAGATGCTGGGCATGATGATGTAGGGGGGATTAATGAGAGGGCGAACCTTCGTAGACACCGCACTCTTAGCATAAACCGGAAAGTGTGGTATAACAGCATCAATCTGAGGAAATTATTAGGTTTGATAGGAATCTCCACTATAGCGAGATTCAAAATGTCCTTCCTTCTTGAGCTTCTAGGAGTATCATCGGCAATGGTCGAGGAGATGAAGATCGGAAGGCTAATGAAGATCGGAACTCTCCGTAGTATTATACCCCCTCTCACTGTGTTCCGTTGTTATGAGCACGTGTATTTGAGTGATTTGAAGATGGCCTCTTCCAGCTCGCTAATGCTCCAGCTGCCAAGTATGTTTTTGCACTGTTTGGAACTCTCGGGTGTTTCGCCTGAGAGGTCCTCGTATGGGAGCATCTCAGGCCCCATCTTGTTTGCAAGATGAGGTGTGTCGTTTAGGCAAACTCTTGGTTGCTGAATTGCCTACTATTTTTAAGAAGCTCGAGTCGGAGAAGCTTGGCCGAAAGTGTATCTGCTGGAGCCCAGAACGATGTTGTTCTTGGTTCTAACTCACGTTCATTTCTGGATGTAGCTCACGCGGCTTTCACTTCTGCGCGTGATCGACGAGGTTTTCCCTTCCAGCCTGCTAAGGAAAGAGATCGGCCTCCAGCTGAGGATAAGAGCTCTGTTAGTGTGTTGGGATATGGGTGGTTTCCTCACTCTGGGTCCACAACGATCTTCTCAACGACTTCCTAGAGGAACATTGCCAGCTAACGAGACATACTAAACAACGACAAGACGTGATATTTTGTCCTTCATTGGCATTATGAGCCCTTCGGTTTGTTCAGTAATATCACCCTTGGTATGATTGCTGCTCAGAAAACCCCTCAAATTGGAGCTTCAGAATGATTTTGAACGCCTTCGTGTCGTGTGAGTGATATGATGGAGTACAAAGACTTACGATGGCGTTTGCTAGTGTTACGATAGTTCCAAGACTGCTCAGCCCGCCTGTCACTCAGGGTTTGGAGTTCTTTACTTTCGTTGACTCGAGCACAACGGCTTGCGGTGTCGTTATTTCGACTGCTGCCTTTGTACCACTACGAGCTCTTGCGAGGAAGCATCGATCGAAATGGTCTATAGTTCGAAAAGAGTTGGTGGCTATACTTGCAGGCTCATATTGCTCAGCTCTTCGAAGCCTGCTTGAAGGTCTCGTTCTCATATTGCTTAACCCTTACTACGACGTTGGTTCCTGATTTGTCACCTACCAGAGACTGTGAATCCAGCTGATACTTTCTCGAGGGGAACGAGGCTGTCGACACCTATTCATTGAGATAGGAAATCGATAGTGCGTTTTATTGTGCACTGCAGCTCCCTGGGTATGGTGGTGCTATGTTGTTGGCTGTTAATGAGGACGAGCAGAACGACGATGACCATTTTGATAGAGAACCCGGGTTGATAGATGAGTCCTGGCTCGAGGACATCAAGCGTTCTCAGAGAGATGACCCATTTCTTGCTCGAATCCTTGTAAAGGATCCAACTGTTTACGTGGGCCGTGTCTGACGACTCTACGAGGTTAAGGATGAGGTTGTTAACCATGAAGCAACTGGTGGCTTGGTTGTTTCGGGTGCGTTATGTCGTAGATTGATTGAGAAGCTCCATACTCTATTTGGTCACATTGGTTTTGCCAAGCTTTATAACTCAACATATCGTATACTTTACCTTGGTCGACTTGCAGATTTTCGTGAAGTCCAACATTCGTGTAAAACTTGCTCTGCCACTAGGGGGCATCGTGCCATAAATCACCGCCTTGGTCGCTGTAGTGGAGTCTAGCGGAGCGACGCACATATAAGTGTTTGATCGATATTAGCTGTGACGTACGCATGTGCATTCCAGTCTTTTGCACACTGCTGCCGCATTCATCAGTCCCGTCTTGACTGATACCGTATCAGCAGTCCTCATCGTCTTGCGTTCATAGTGGGCATTCCCGAGTGAGTCACAACATGGTGCCCAGACCCAGGAACATCTTTTCAGTGGGTTCTACCCCTTCTTGTGGCTCCACGAGTGCCCCCCCCCCTGACTCCCCCGCATTCGAGGAGGTCCCTGGCTCTTGGAGTGAGACTGAGGAGTATGTCCTCGCCCTTGGTGGCTATGATCAGGAGGATGGTTCGTCCCCCTCTCCCACGGGATCGGCTCCACCGATTCCTGCTGTAGCCCGAGAAGGGGGCCCAGAGGCCGCCCCAGCTATAGGTGATGAGAGCGGTAGGCCACCGATTCCAACAACTGGCCTAGCCGTTTCCTCAGGGCCCGCTCCTGCCCCACTTTCTATTCTTCCCCTTGGGAACGAGCCCCACCGTACCATTAAGTCTTATGATTTGGGCGAGAAGTTCACGGGGACCGACAAACAGGCCCACAGCCTTGAGGTATTCGAGTTCATCTCCCGTGTCAAGGCTCATTTGAAACTCCTCAACATCGCCCCGTCTCATCATTATCAATATCTCCTCTTGAACACTCGCCTAGCCGCCTACAATGCTTTGACTAACAATGTTCGACTCCCCATCAACGATCCTCAAGCGTTCCACGTTGGTGTTTCCGTATTGCAGGAACGCTTCGGTGTTAGCCGCCACGATCTGTGGGCCCTGGCCCGCAATCGCCGCTTAAACATTGGCGAGACGACCGCCGATCTGATCGGTGACTTACAGAAGTACCTGTCATACAGTCTTTCTGAAGTATTGTCGTTGTCACGTCAGTGCTTGGACTGGGTAGTGGCGATGTCTTTTTGGCATGCCCTACCATCTTCTGTTCCAGGCCTTGACAACATGCGAACAACTTGGCTAACCCAAGTCCGTGCGGGCGCCCCCCTGGTCGAGACTGCTCTGAACCTTACCCGCTCCGTTCGTGTCGAAGGGCACGAAGGCGTTGCTCTTGTTCAGGGCCATTTCTCCCGCCCTACTTATCAGCATAGCAGGGGCAAGGGCAAGGGCAAGGGGCATCCTGTCCGTTCAGCACCCGATACTAGATCAGCCTCTCCTCGTCTCCCTATCGTCAAGTCAATTTCTGGTCCCCGCTGTTTCAATTGTGGAGGGAAAGGGCACCTATCCCGCGATTGTCCATCACCTCGGAAGGTAACACCGGGAAGTTGGTTCTGGCAACCGGATTATGCCACTGACAACCACCTTTTGTTACTCTGTAGGTTCGACCGTCTGCAGCTCAGTGAGCATTTCGTCGCTCTGATCGACACCGGCTCGACTGTGACCGTTCTATCTCACATTATTTCGGAGAAAATCTTTGGCAGATGTCTGTCGGTTTCGACTGAGTCCATTCACGTTCGCACTCTGACCGGCAAGCTTGCGCTCTCTAGAACAGTAGACGAGCACTACTTTCTGGGCGCACAAATGAGGTTCTTGATTTCTCCTTCTCATCCCTTGTTGAGTCTCCAGTCAACAGATGTTCACGTTATGCTTGGGATGGACTGGCTATTCGCACTTGATGCATCGTTGTCGGTATGTCCCGGAAAATTCCCTCCCTGGACCATCTCTCCACAATCTAGTGCATCATCGTCTGGCCGAGAAGCCACTTTGTGGTGCCAGCCCGCTGATGTCGTCATTGTGGAACCTGACTTCACTCTACGTCGTCGATCAAATGCCCCCCAGTCATTGCACTGTTGGGAAGTTGAGTGGAAATGGTTATCTGGTACGGAACCGATCCTCCCCATAGCCAAACCCCCGTGCTTCCCGGACAGTTTGGGCAGGCTCAGCGACTTACAACGACAACTATATAACGATCAGTTGCAATCATGGGTCCGTAATAACTTTTTGATCCATACTGACCGCTCTGAACTGAAGGGCATCCTTACATGTTTTCCCCATGTTAGCATGGACAAGCACACGAAAGTGCGTCCCGTCTTAAATTATGTTTGGTTAAACGATCTCCTTGTAAGTTGCCCTCATTCAAAAGGTCCACCGACCACCTGCCTTGGCGAGCTACGCTCGTGGCGTACATGTGATCCACAGGATTGGTTCATAATCGATGTGACCACAGCGTATCTTAAGCTACGTGTGGCAGAATCTCAACAATACTGGCAAGGCATCATATTCCCTGACTGGCCTGAACCGAACACTTTTAGGTTGTCGAGGGTCGGATTCGGTCTTCACATTGCAGGCAAAGCCCTGGACCGGGCTATGACACACTGTTTGGATGCCACCACGACTCACTTTCCGGTGAAAAAGTATGTCGATGACGTGGCTGTCCACCGGAGTGATCTTGTTGTCGTCGAAAAGGCTTTGGCTCAGGACGATCTAAGCACGAAACCCCCACAAACGCTGGCTGGCAGTAGTGTGCTAGGAGTTACCATCACCCCGGTAGGCCGTTGGACTCGGAAAAAGCCCATAGATCTAACAACACTACCTACCACCCGCAAAGCCCTAGCCTCTTTGCTTGGTAAACTCACCGCACACTATCCCGTTTGTGGCTGGTTACGCTTGACCTGTGCCCTGTTCACCCGAATCCTTGCCTTGGCCGCCCCAGCTGCAACTCGCCATTATGACTATTCAATCCCGACCAACATTAGTACCGCCTACTCCCACGTTCTACAGTACATCCGTACCTATGGTGATCCAATTGGTGGAGTATGGCAGATCACTGCCTCAGATCCCTGGGTGCTCTTTACGGATGCCAGCGCCATCGGTTGCGCTGCCGTGTTATGCGTGGGCGACGTGCTGTGTGAGGACCGTGCCTGGCTTCGAGACCGAGACTGTAAGCGTCATATCAACATTCTCGAAGTCGAGGCTGTCCTACGAGGACTCGGGATTGTAATCGATTATATGCAGGCAATTTGCATAGCCCGCTGTTCCTTGACGATTCGTACTGACAATATGTCCGTGGTGGCATGGCTCAGTCGATCGACGAGTCGACATTGGACGAAGATTCACGGTCTCTTCCGGAATGCCATTGAGAGCCGTATCCAACTCATCCACGATGTATGCAAAAACTATCATATTGTCTTCACGGTTGAACATGTTTCTACTTCTGCAAACATCGCGGATGGGCCCTCTCGACTCCCGCAAACTCTCTCTCGCGAATTGCTAGGACTCGTCAAGGAATATTCTAGCACCGATTCTACCCCTTGTGTAGATGTGATTGCCATCCAAGCTCCGAGTACGTGCTCCTTCGAGCAGGAAATCAGCCTCCGTCAGTGGCTGCAGCAATTTCCGATCTCTGACGGGAAGGTCCAACTCCCGCCCGATCGACTCGGGGAGTTTCTAGCCAAGGTTCATGACCATGAAGGTCATGCCGCGCTCTTGGCTCAGCTACAGGAATACATTGATGCTCCGGCTTTAGCCTCCGCCATCAACCACTTCTCCTGTGACACCTGTGCCCGAGGGAAGTCTTTCCCAGGGGACCGTCAATCCCTCTTCCCCGGCAGTTCCATCCCCCGAGCCCCATTCCCATTCGTTCGCTTGCACAGTGACATTGCAGGTCCTTATCTCAGGTCAGTCGATGGGCCGACTCGCTTCTATCTCATTTCCGCCATCGACAACTACTCCAACTTTCTGATGGTTCGACCCACTCAACATTCTTCCACTTCCCAGGACGTTTGTACACTACTCACATCCATTGTCCACACCTTTCACGTCCTGCCCCTTATGCTCCACACCGACAATGGCACCCAATACTCTAGTCTTGCCATGGCCGATTTGGTTCGATCGTGGGACGCAATCCATTTGTCCACCCCACGTGGTTCTTCACCATCTAATGGACGCATTGAACGAGTACACCGGTATCTCAATGAATATCTCCGTACCCATCACACCGGCAAGGGCATGTCCTACACTACTTTCTGCGATCTTATCCGGCATGCGGTCTATTCATGGAATGTTACTAAACGCCGAGGCGTCAGTCCCCACTCTATGGTCTACACCTTCCCTGCTTCTATGGGTATGCATGTACCTCGCCAGTGTCGTCGTGGATTTTCCTACGTCGAGTCCTGTGTCGTCGATCCTCCCCCGGATAAAACGATTCCTGTCGGGACCCGAGTATTAGTACGTTGCCCTACTCAAGTCCCCAAACTCGACTTTGACTCGACTCGGCTGGTATACCGCTATCGTCATTCGCCAATTGAGTCCCAACGTATTCATAACCAAGGCTGACGTCACTGGACGCGAGGCCTCCATTCACAGCCGGGATATCAAGCTCTTCCAGACTGATGACCGTCTTCCCGACACTCTTGCCCATGCTCGTTCGGGCTACCATGGCTCCAAACGCGGTAGGAGCTCTCTCCCAAGGGAGGGGGAATGTAGTGGAGTCTAGCGGAGCGACGCACATATAAGTGTTTGATCGATATTAGCTGTGACGTACGCATGTGCATTCCAGTCTTTTGCACACTGCTGCCGCATTCATCAGTCCCGTCTTGACTGATACCGTATCAGCAGTCCTCATCGTCTTGCGTTCATAGTGGGCATTCCCGAGTGAGTCACAACAGTCGCCGACTTCTCCACAGCTCCATGGGAGTTGGCGGGTGCAGATTTGTGTGGACCGTACAAGTTCGGCCATGCCGGTGGTGAGTCTGAGGTCATGCTTGTGGTGTGTGTAGATGCTTGCACCAAGTTGATGACGGTTGAAATTGCTTATCACTACTACAACGAGCTTCTGCGTTGCATCTAGGAAATGTGTTATTGCCATCGTTTTCATCTATGCTTCTACAGCGATTGTGGTCGTAGGTTTAGTGGCGCTAAACTATGTGCTTGACTTTGTGTTTATGGCCTAAAATGAGTACAGACAACCCCTTATTGTTGTCGACTGAGGGGATGGAACGAAGCATCTCAAAAGTTGCTGTTGAGTGTTGTGAGATCACTTATCCTCGATGATCACACATACGTTGATAAGGCCTGCTAGTTGTCAATAATATCGGTAGGAGTCGGTCCAATGTGCATACCTTCTCTTTAGAATTACATTTTACTCATGGTCGCAGCTTACCTCCAGTTATTAGCGATATACGACTCTCTGATGAGGCAAGACGCTTTATGGCTGGCTTGGCATATTACCTGTACCATCAGAGCGGGCTCTGTCTGCTTACCTTGACGATTACCGAAAGCTTTTAGTTGATGCTATGGATTTGAGCATGGCTGAGAATATCGATCAGGCCTTACGCTCTCGAGGGGTCTTGGCTGCTGAGTCTGCTGGCAGACGAGATCTTTCTTCTGGTACTTAAGATTGGAGACTTGATGGTACGCTATAATCATTATGCAGTCAATACGCAGGCTCCGCGTTGGCTTATTGACAAGCACCACCGTATTACTGCACTTAATGGGAGTGCTGCCTAGTTAAAGGGTGGTGAAGATAGTAATGGTAGAGGAGTTTTGACGACTCACTACCGCGCGGCCGCGAGTTCGTCTCCAATGACTGTGATCGTTCATTCGCTAGGTTAACGGCTTTCCCTGCTTTCCCACATACTCTACTCTCCTGCGCTCAGAGGTCGGGGCATGGGGCGCAGACCAGAATACCCTCCACGTAGTCATAGAAAACTTGATACTTTCTGAGCAGGTTTTGCGCTGATGTTGTGCTTCTTTGACAAGAGATCGACTACTATGATTTGACATTTCGCATTTGATGCAAAAAATGCTTCCCAGAGATGGTGACAGTCTGATCCGATTCTATGTTGAGCTTTACAGGAAGACTGGCCAAATGGGCTAGTCAACAATCTATTGACCGATCTATTGGGAGTTCTATTCCAGGCAATAACATACTTCGTGAACGATTGCTTCAAGCATCAACGTAGCGTTTGGGGAGAGTTGGGTTGAGTTACCTGGCCGTGCTAAAGCATTTTTGTCACGTGGGGGAACATAGAAAGCTCAGACCTGGGCGAACGAAAACGTATTTACATTTCTCCCTTTTTCAGTTCTTCTCTGAGCCGCGGACGCACTATGGTCCATGTTCTCGAGCAGTTAGGTAGTACTGCATCGTAGCTACGACCTCGTGGGCACGACTTAAACTTCCACTTTCTGTAGGAGTTATTACTTTTCAAACATTAGGTGTACATGTGAGCTACAGGCTGTCGAGAAAGAAGAATACGCTGGACGATGACGCAAATTTATAGCAGTATCGAGTCGGCCGATCGTTCCGCGATGAAGGAAACTCGCAAGAGATCGAAAAGACGATTGACTAGATTGAGGCTAGCGATTGATCCACAGAAAGCGTTGAACGCGCCGATTTTACGACTTGTGACGGCAGTTTTTACGTTGTAATAGACTGAGGTCATATGATAGTGTGTTGATCTTGTTATTTTCCGTTGTGGTCCATATGCTTCGGATTTTTCTTGTGGCGAAGAGGCGTAGTATTCCAGAGGTAATGTAATCTTCACTTCCGGAATATTGGTGGTCTCGTGACAGCGTATCTCGGATTATCCAGGGAGCGTCGATTAGGATGGGGCGCACTCATTGATATAGCATGGTCGATACACCGCTATTATCGGCACGTGAGTAGTAAGCTGTACTCCCACAAGCATCTTCTGATGGCTAGTACAGAGACAGCAACAGTAACTACCTTTCGTGCGGAATTGCACAGAATGAACTGCTCCGCAAATAACGGGTGCTCAAATTCACTTCGATTTCTTCGATAAGTCTGAAGTGAGAAGTTCACTGGGGTCCGAGGAAGTATATACCGGCAGCAAACCGTGTCAAATGTGAGATCGCAGAACAAATTATATGAGACAAACGGATAATGAGACTCAGCGAGCGAAATAGAGCTCAAAAATATACTTCCATCCAGATCAAAGATGAACGCTTTTCGAGAAAAAAAGCCGCAAGTCAATCATTGACTGAACCTCTGCTACAAGATAAATGGGAATAAAAGTCGAAGACATGTTCTAGCTGAATGAAATCCGTCACATGATATTCGACCAAGCCCCATGGACAGTGCGCGTTTGAAGCCCTACTCTTCATCTGGTAGAACTGTGCGCTTATCTTTCCTATAATCTCTCGAGAGTAGATCCTGTAATCTCACTGGAGATGTATCTTGCTTCTTAGCAGTAGACTTCCGCCATTTTCTGTGATATTGCGGGATACAACATATGCCTCATATCTACGCGTGTAGTGTACAAGCTTTTTCTTCTGCCGAAGAAAAAAAATTGCCGAGTACTTTTTCTTCTCTGCGGGACGTATGTCGTCACACAGTCTCTTCATTAGAATCTTTCATGTATTCTTCAAAGAACTGTCGATATTTTTGTCGGAACCGGGATGTGCGACGTGGAGTCTGATCGCCGACCAATAGCTTGTGTCGACCGTATTTATCCAAATAGGCTGTGATTAACGTCCATTGTGTCCAGCATTGAAATCAACGCCTTGAAATACTGTGGTTCTGGTGTCATAGCACTTCATATCAAGCAATTTCTGTAGCAGAACTATACTGTTCAGCTGTACGAGCTTGTACTGCAGTCTCCGGTGAGCTGAATTGTCAGTAGATGACTCCGCAGGACGTATTCGCAATGAGTGATCAGTAAGGTCATAGTTTTCCCCCGCTCGCGAAAGGGCAACAGTGATATCCTTGCGATTATTCTATCATTCTTGCATTCACCGCGCTATACATGTACCAAAGACGCACCAGTAGTGACTAAAATGAAATTCAAATGCTATCGGGGAGCAGAGGATATCTCGATGACATGCAAGGTTGACCGGCAATAGCTCAGTTGGTAGAGCGTCCGACTGTAGTGATTAAGTAATCGGATGGTCCCTGGTTCGATTCCGGGTTGCCGGATGTATTTTATTCGATATTCCGGCCACGCTGAACAATGTTGAATTAACGGCCGAACTTTCTTTCAACTAGTTGATCCTCTAGATACTTTTATAGCTCTCTCAACATTGTTCAGGCGGGAAAGGGTCAAGCGTGTTTCGAGCTCGTCAATAACTGTTGAGTGTATCACGGAAATGAGCTTTTTGGGGAACTCAACTACCCGTTATCTCCGCTAGAGAGTGACTGGTGACACGAAATGCGTGAAGAAGGACAAGAGTATGCATCCGCCTGTTTATCCTTGAACAGTAGTATCACCAATCACCAACGCATGGAAGAATCTCATCCGTAGCTCCACCCGTTGCGCGTTTAGTATCGCCCAAGTACATAAATGTGGCGACTCGATTACTTGCTAAACGCATTCCCTCGTTTTCCTCCCATTTGAAGGATAATCTCGTATGGACAGCTAGAGACCACTAATCGTCTTCGGATACCACATGCGCAACAAGAGTTCAACTGAGTATCCGTATACCCGAGCGTTCATTCTGCCCGTCTAGCTCAGTCGGTAGAGCGCAAGGCTCTTAACCTTGTGGTCGTGGGTTCGAGCCCCACGGTGGGTGTAATTTACAATTGAACTTTATGTTTATGGCCCATTAGGGCAGTGGGTAAAATTGTCAATTTGGATACTATAGCATTCTGCTCGGGTAAGGTGACCTAAGGTCATGACCGAAGGAAATTGACTCATGTGAGTCATCGAGGAGAACAACTTGGGGAATTGATAGTTTACGTTGTTGCTCCGCTAGCTCAGTAGGCAGAGCGTGTGGCTGTTAACCACAAGGTCGGTGGTTCGAACCCATCGTGGAGCGCTTGATGAGATCACTTTTTGAGTTGGAGCACGTGTAAACGATTCATTCTTGCATTCACCGCGCTATACATGTACCAAAGACGCACCAGTAGTGACTAAAATGAAATTCAAATGCTATCGGGGAGCAGAGGATATCTCGATGACATGCAAGGTTGACCGGCAATAGCTCAGTTGGTAGAGCGTCCGACTGTAGTGATTAAGTAATCGGATGGTCCCTGGTTCGATTCCGGGTTGCCGGATGTATTTTATTCGATATTCCGGCCACGCTGAACAATGTTGAATTAACGGCCGAACTTTCTTTCAACTAGTTGATCCTCTAGATACTTTTATAGCTCTCTCAACATTGTTCAGGCGGGAAAGGGTCAAGCGTGTTTCGAGCTCGTCAATAACTGTTGAGTGTATCACGGAAATGAGCTTTTTGGGGAACTCAACTACCCGTTATCTCCGCTAGAGAGTGACTGGTGACACGAAATGCGTGAAGAAGGACAAGAGTATGCATCCGCC